TATAGTAAAACATAATATATATGTACATATATGAATAAAAATCTTACTCTTCGCTGGTGAGAGGAAATGGCCCTTGAAATTGTCTCCACCTTGCGATTCAAATATATTATCAACCATATTATTAATGATACTGAGCAAAAAAATTACATCTCGTTAATGTAGACTCAGATTTGAGTGTTAATTAAGATCTGAGTAATATGTCATTATAATATTGAGTAATGTGTCATTATAATATTCACAATATGTTATGAATGTTGAATCTATATGCGCGGTGTATCCGACCCTCTTTATTGATGCTCCTTTGACTAGTTTTGATTTCTGTTTATAAAACCATTTAGGCTTTTGTCAGTCGGTTTGATTGCTTGGGGGAGGGCGATAAACGATTTAAATATATTGCTTTTTTTTGGTAAGATTTTTGTTAGGAATGTATAAAACAAGTGAAGTATCGGTACCTTATTGTATGTAATATTGGCAATTATTTTAAAAACATATATGCATAATAATAAATCAATCTATTCATTTAAATGTTTTTTAACTACTTATAGAATATCTAAGCCATTCTTCTAACTAAGGCTGCATTCACACTGGAATAATCGAATATTTAGCCAATGTCAAAGTTTTTATTTGTTGGGTGAATTATAGTCTTGAGTAGGGGAACGGGGGGCACGTTGTTACAATTTTTAGATAATTGTTAATATCACAAAAGCTATCAAATAATGTATAAATTTGATTGCTTTTACCATTAGTGTGTCTATTCAGCTAGTAGAATAGAATTGGAAAAATATTAAAATTTACGTAATTTTTCCCAAAATAGAGAATTAATGAAATAAGTCGATTGCAACAACTTACCCCTGACTTGGGGCTAGTTGTTACAGCTTCGGGGCACGATGTTACAGTAGGTAAATAAACAAAATTAACGATAATAAATCATTTTTTTTTATTATTTCAAAACGTTATGAATAAAAAAACTATTTTGATCAGTCCTATAACATTTATGAGCAATTATAATATCTATATCGTAATTTTCCAACTATTTAACAGTAATACCTAATCATATAACTTTGGCAGGAACTTTCTTAAATCTTATAAAACACGTTTACTTTACGGAATTAGAAAAATTCGTCAGTAAATACCAACATGTAATAAATTATTTATACTTTTTCAACTTGGCACTTCAGTCAAACTAAAATCTAATATTTTAAAGACACTTATATTGCAATAAAATTTATAGTTACGTATACGATACTGTATAAACAGTTTTTTTTGGTCTTGGCCAGTTTTTCTTTATACTCTTTTTGTAATGAGTCTTTTTCAGGTGTGTCGGTTAATACAGCGGACTTACGTTTACGACGGTTATGGATGGATTGTTTTCGAGCCTCTGCCTTGGGAAAGGACCTTATCTTTGAAGGCAAAAAAATTTCAAATGTACTTTGTATACCAGATGGACCTGGTATCGCTAATTCAATTTTATTTTTAAAACTTGAATCTGCACTCGGTAATGTTGTTAACCATTCTATATCTTGCGAACAAGCTGGATTTGGAGAAGGTGAAACAGTAATATTGTTAATAGTGTCAGGTAATAGATTGGTTGCTGTTTCGATTGCCTGTATGATTTCATTTTTTCACTTTCCATTTATTCTATTTTTAAGTACAGCGTAGTAATTTCTAAATGATAATCAATGAGATGAACGGTAATACAAGATCTGAGGCAAGTTGTAACATGTAACAACCTACCCCGAAAAACTGTAACAACCTGCCCCATGGTGTGTTTTTTAATTAAAATTAAGGCCGCCATTAATGGATATCAATAGCAGAATAAAACGCTATTACAAATTAAAACTAGATACATTATGAACGTTCGAGGTGAAAAGAATTTAGAGAATAACAATTATAGACAGCAGGAATCAAAAATTTCGTAAAAGATTTTGTTACGAACTTGATGAAAATCAAGACACGTGTACACAACCTAACAGTTAGCCGCTTGCCGGGTCCCTGATTGTTTTTTTGCAACGCACGATGTTATAAGAAAACAAATGAGTCCACTTACGTCTATCAAAGAGTTGAAAATCCCGGAAAAAAATGCGTGTATTTTCTTACCCCTGCAACAACGTGCCCCCCGCTCCCCTACTGTGTGGAGAAAATACTAAGGAGTTTGTCGAAAGGAATAGAGACGTTTATTTAATTATTATTATCAGTATTTATAATTTATTATTATAATTATTATTGGTTAGCTGTTTACAATAGGCCTTAAGTCACAATTAGGAAATTTGTTAGTAGATAGTAATTATTATTACTATATTTATAAATACAATAATAAAACTATGTACCGACAAATGTCACAATTTCTTCCAATTACAAAGAGATAAATCAATTTATATCTTATAATAAAAATACGGCAGCGGTTTAAAACATTCTGCTTTGTTTCTGGTGCTGTCAAAATAATTAACTAACCTTTATAAATAATAAGAATTAAAATATACGAACACGAATATATTATTAATACAGTGTATATATAATTATTTATTAAATGTTTTTTTTTTGCAGCAACACTACCGATCTCTTATACTCTGTGGTTAAATTTAATTTACAAGACACATTCAATTAAAATGAACTGTCATAATTAATTAAAATATTCAATCAATGAAACTGTGAGTCATTTCTAAAAAGGAAAACGAGTGTAGTAAACCTTAAAGTTCACGACTCACTATAACGGAATGATTCATACATTTTTTAGTTAGCAAATTGATTTAATTCGTTCCTTACGTTCAACAAAAAATATATATAAGAAAATTCCTAAAATAATTAACGTTGAAAATTGAATAAAACAATACTTCCAGCGTGTATAATTGAATTATAAAATTTTATTTTAATAGGCGTCAATTGAATTAAAATATTGTTATTAATTTATTAATTTATAAATCCTAATAACGTTCCTATTAAAAAAAATTGCAACACAAGATAACAAATATACAGCCAATATTAAACAATAAAACCTCCTTCGATACAGTATAATGTCAATATAGGGCTTAAAAAACCTTATTAATAAGCATTTATTAATACAAGTCCTAACAATAAATCAAGGGGTCAATAGATTCATTAAAAAAACAGCTTATTTAACACAAAGAGATTTATAAATCATCGAAAAATAGGAAAAAAATAACACAAAGCCGATGTCATGCTTCAACGTAACATTTAACATCTTAATTCCGACACACGCCGACAAAGACTCAGTCTGAGCGACTCAGCGGGGAGCTGAGTGTACGCTTACAAGTGTACGCTCGATTGTGTTTAACACCTTGACTATTATAATATATATTAGGGATGATAAATATTATTATAATATAAGTATAGAATATTCTAGTCTTTTAATGTTTATTAAAGAAAATTTACTTGAATTAATTGTTGAGAACTGAATTGAAATTTTAAATGAATATGCAATGGAGATGTAAGTTAGAAGAATCGGAATTAAGCCTTGATTTTTCCCTCTTAAATTATAAAATTATATTATTCAAGTATTATTATATATATAGAGAATATATACTTATAATTAATTTAATGACATAAATCTCTGTATATAGGTATATATCGTTTAACTTAAAAACAAATGCAAAGAATCTAAATTCTAATTTGTTCTTTTCCTTATTTTAAATATAAAATAAGTTAACAACTTAATTAATTACGTTTTTTAAATTTAATTAATGTTCCTCATATACTGTTTATCAGTTGGTAAATATTTTTTCTATAATTGAACTTATTCGATCTCAACAACAGTTTCTTTAAGATTTTAAACGGAATCCTTAGTAGGAGTTTTGTATGGTCAAACTAAAGACTGGTAGTTTATAGTATTCCATATTTTCATATGTATGTATATGTGTATAATATATTGAAAGATTTTCATTATTGATTATTTTATATAGGTATATATACAAAATATAATAAATATTATTACTAATCCATACATAAAAAATATCTTAATTAAATAAATTGAATAAAAATATATATTTATTTATTTAATAGGTATATAACAAATAAAAAGTATAAAGAGAATAAATTTCATATGCATTGTATTTTATTAAAATGAGTAAGTATATAAAAAATATATAATATCATTGTAATATTTAAAAATACTTTACAAAATATCCTATTAAAGTATTATATGAATGAATTATAATTAATTAATTCATATAAAACATCACAATTACTTATTTTAAATAAGTAACAGTTTTTTTATCAAAAAAATATTCTTCTTCCTGGCAATTTCCCAGCTTTAGCCAGGGTCTGCCTTAAAAAAATATTAATTAATATTTTAACTACAATTTCGTAGTTCCGTGTTTTAGAAATACTTAACTAGTGTTACCGACGGTGTCGAGTGAAGTTACGAACAAAAATATATTATTCAATAATAATGAGTTTTTATTAATTAAATAATATTATATATATTATGATAATAATAACTATACTTTAAACTTAATATCAGGGTAATATTTATAGCGCTACGGTAAGATTGAAACTTAAATATTTTTATAAATATATTAAAGAGTATACAAAATTAATTAATTATATTATATGATTGTAAATTTTATATAAATTTAATATTACCTTGATATATAATTTTGCGGAAAAGTGTCTTACATGTATCCTTATAGTAACACTTGTATATATGAGTTTAATTATTTTTTATTACAAACAACTGTGACTCTTTAATTAATTAGAAAGAAAATAATTATGAATAGAATATAAGAAGTGTGTATAGCAATATAAAGAATTATTATTGAAATATAAAGTATATATGAGACCGTAATAAAATCTCATAAGATTCTGTTTAAATTTATCTTAAGCTATTTATGTTTCTTTATATCGAAACTCAATTAATAATATATCCTTAATAAATATTAAGCATAGACTCATTAGATAGAGTACAATCTAGTTTCATTCGTTAAGCTATTTAGCCTCTACATTGACAGTCTTATCTAGTTGGGTTGGATGTAGTTTCTACATACCTTTAGTGCTTGCGGCGTCTTCGTTGGAATCTTCGCTCGGTGGTCCATGAGGCGGCGGATGTCTCGGCCGCTGGAGGAAGGGCGGCGGGACCCCGAAGAAGGGCAGGAAGGGCGGCCAGGGCGGGCGGGGCAGCGCCGCGGCGGCCGCGTACAGCTGCAGCGGCGCCGGCAGCCCGCCCTCCAGCACCATGCGACCCGCTATCTTGATTTTACTGCCGTTCATACATAGTCAATGAACACTAACTAGAACTAGAACTCTACGTTACATATCATGACAGAGTTAGATAGAGTCGCGTCACTATCACTGTATCATATCACTGACTCTATCACGCACTCAACTCACTAGTTCTGTCTGTGAAGTCAGTCGGCTCACTGAGATGGCGCTCCGTAGAGGGCGGAGCCTCCCCGGGCCTCTGACCCCGGGCGCCCCACCACCACCTGTCTACGGAATTAATTCCACGCCTCTTTCATATTATAGATTTATTTGCTCTCCACCTTCATACAAAAATCAACCTTGTATACATGAAATAGAGCTCATTATAGCATGTATATAGTTTATGCCATACGTGGAATTAACGATATCGCGTCACACACTTCTGTAATCTGAATCATACTCTATTATATTATCCATAAGGTTGTGTTTTCTTTGTGTCTGTTTTGTTCGGTGTATTTATAAGGCCGTCGTACGTCTGAGGGCTGTGGGGATGTCATAATCTTTTTTAACCTCATGTAGAGTCTACAACATAGAGATAATGAACAATATATTAAACTTGTAACATTAGAGTTCATGTTACATTATTATCAATACGCTTTATTAATTGTTTTTAAATATTATAAATCAATTTAATAATAATATTATTTTTATCTAATATTTATTTTACTTCTCTCTTTTTATTGTATATACAGCTATTGTTGAATCAGTGATTCATTATAGATTCATATTCTACGTGTTAAGAAAATATTTCCTATACATTTGTAACATGACAGTTAATAATCTAAAGTGTTACGTAGAGCCTCCTTAAACTCTAAATGTAATCAATCATACGAAATTAACAAGTTAAGTTGTGTGACAGATAAGAATCCAGATACTAGCGACAGATAATTTAAATAAAAATATTAATAATAAAAAATCTAAATTAATTTGACATAAATAATAATAATATGTCAAGACGGCAACAATAAGTCGGGACGACCTGACAGCTCTATCAGAGATCTCACACTGACTCTACCTCTACACGCCCTTTGTGACATAACACATGCCGCTACATCATCTGATTGGTCGTTAGCCAGTGGTGGGGGAAGGAAGTGGGCGTGGCTTATACAGGGTGTACGGAGAGCTTAGTGTTGCATGAATTTAATTAGCGCGAACACCTCGGGCGCATTAGGAGCGATGGGCGAAGCAATAAAAGATATAAAGGAATCAGTATAAATTAAAAGTTAAATAGACTGTGCGAGTGAGACGGATGTATATATATTGTGCATCAGCCGTCTCTGTCGCACACATTAATTGTTTGACGATCTTATTAGTATCAGTTAAATGGAGAGTCTTTTTCTGTAAGATTTAATTACTGTTTAATTAGTAGCGGAGTAATGAGAACGGTAGATTTTTTTGTTGCTTTTTCTTTTGTATGTAGTTTTGTTTAGAAATATTCAGTTGAAAATAGTTTTTGTTTCCGGTTAAAAATATGATATAGTGTAAAAGATTGTTAATAAAATTCATATTTCAAATATAATATGTTTGTCATTTCCAATATGCATATAAATAATTCTATAACAAAATGCCCTTGCTTTACGTAATAACATTTGAATATTTTAAAACTTTATTATAAATATATTAAAAATTTTAACTTATACATATTACTATGGAACTATAATTTTTTAATAAAATTAATTAATTGTATATAACATATAAAGCACTGTCATATCACATACAGATAATATAAAATTACAGTGTGTATTGACCCTTATTACTGAAAAACTATTATTAAAATCTGTATTCCAGTACGTATGGAGCCTTATATATAACTACATGTTATTATATATTATAATACGTCTAATGTTACTATCTGATCCACATACAAACATAAGTCTTGTATTCAGTTTGTGTGTATATCCATCCTTGTCTAGCATGAGATCGTTCATATATCTCCGTCCCTGTCTAACACCACATTAGATCGCATCACGAGCCGGTCGTTCCTTCTCATTAGAGAGCTCACAGCCATCGTCTGCCAAGAATGGCTGTAACGTTTTGTTTTATTGACGATAAATATTATAACATACATATATATATATATATATAGTACCAATGCGATTTTTCGGAGTCATATGTACTTTCTGAGAGTATTTAGACATCACTGATATACGGTGAAGGAAAACATCGTGAGGAAACCTGGACTTATAGTTTCACAATCATAAGTTTGAAATCACCAACCCGTCTTGAGCAAGCGTGGTGATTAATGCTCAAACCTTCTCCAAGTGAGAAGAGGCCTTTGCTCAGCAGTGAACATATATATATATATATATATATATATATATATATAGATATTTTAATGCGTTAATTGTAATTTTTATTAAAATCCACAGACTATAAAAAACATATATTTTTAGTTATATATGGATTTCTTTTGAAAGCAGATCTTAGCTAAAGCTGGGAAATTGCGAGGAAGAAGAAGATAGATTTCTTTTTATCTTCAAAGAAAAATAATATTAATGTTATCTTAAACACATGCTTATAGACTAAAGAACGAGCGATATATTTTAATAGGTTGCGCAATTTCAATACGGAAATAGACCCGACTTCCGGTGATGGCGACGTGATTGATGATTCTTATACGAATATAGATTTTCTTAAACTGATAACATATGAATAAATAGTTACAGCTGAACGCACTTCGCTAATACACTATAGAGGTTCTTGTATTAAAAAATACTTATATGTATATTAAATATACAACACATAATAAATTTAATATTTTTATAGTAATTACGAGCTCTCTTCTTCTTCCTCCTGTCGATTTCCCAGCTTTAGCCAGATCTGCCTTCCTACTAACTCCTCCACTTAACACGGTTTTTGGCAGTTGTAGCTTTAAACAAATATATCATTTTAAATATTAATCCACTAATAATGAATGTTCGCAACTCTTCCGTCAGATTAAATCCTTTTCTGATTCACATTTGTTCGATAAAAATAAGATGGATGACCGCCACGCGCTAGGAATTGATTTAAAATTAAAATATGTGATTGATGTTGGAACGTCACGCCCTGAAGGGTTACACGATTCACACTACTCACACGAAATATACTAAAATATATATGTACATATATATACATTTAATATATTAATCTTTTTTTATTAGTTCAACTTAATAGTAGATTTTTTTGTTATGAAATACGAGCAGATGAATTGAAAATGTTTTTGAACGTATTATGTCGCTAATGAATACTTAAATCTTTGATCTTATTATTTTAAAAAGGTTGTATTACTTATCAATGTGTTTGAAAATTGATTAGGATGATTATATTTTTGATTATTTTTAACTAAAAATATTATTTTGTATAGAGCATAAGTAAAAGACGATATTATTTTGATTGGTTTAAAAGATTTATCGATTTGTTTGTTTTTCGCCAGGTTGTTTTATAAATACATTTGGAAGTTTCTTTACATTCAATATATTATATTTTTTAAATAATTTTATCCAATTCATTCGGATCTCATTATGGTTAAACAAAGATATCTTCATCAGACTAAATCTTACTATAATTTTTGAATACTTGATAATAGAATATGACATAACAAAACCACGAAAAAAAATCTTCAAAACTCATATTGTATGAATATCTAAATTAAGTCCTATACAGGAAAAAACAAAGGAACCCAACTTAATGTTCATAATAACCCACCATATATATTTAAATTAAACCTACATTTTTTTTAACCAACGTAATTCTTATTTAAATACATATCTTCTATATGAGGTTCATGTTGTACAGTTGTTTAAGCAACACGTTTAAGTGTTCTCAAAAAGCGTCGGGATTCATAATCTTGTTAGCACTCAAATTTGCATTAATTAAGGTCGGAGTTTGTCTAAACTCAGCGACGCTCAGCGAGACTTAGATAATATTCAAATGGTACACATAACGACGCGCCCCGACCCCGGCCGCGCCCGCAAGCAATATACGCTGTACAGACAGACGCACAAGTCTTTACGACTTATATATAATGATAGATATCATATTAGATAATTATGTAGGGTGTACGACTAGAGGTTCATGAAAAACTACGAAATTTACTTATATGTAGGTATGTTAAAATACGAATTAGTACATGTTAAAACTTATAAGTTATAACCTATACCTAAAACTACATGATTGACCCGATGTTAGGATGACAATGACGTTCTATTGCTTGTATGGTGTAAGGAATCTTCTGGTTCACACGGCTTGGTGTTCGTTCCGCGAAGTCAGCAGCGTCACTCGTTATATCATATTTTATCTATACAACGATGTTATCCCGGCGATGTTCATTTATTTTTTAAATAAGTAACAACATATAAAAGTTTTTTTCATTGACATTTAAATACAAGCTCGTACCACGTTTGATCTCGAACGTAATCATTTCATACCATTTTTATCTCAAAAAAACTAAATTTATCATTACTTATATTATATTATATATTTCAATGTTATAATAATTAATATATGTATAACACTTCTCCACTCGTCTGTACATTTCTGAGAGCGAGGGTACGCTCGACATTTTCCCCTTCTGGTAATTCACTAGGATTTAATTTAAATTAGTTTTGGCTTGGCTTAATAGCTTCCCCCCACTGAGAGGCTGGGGTTTGGGGGTTGGGGGTTGGAGGTTCTGGCTTGGGGGATGACGGCCCACTCCCGGGGAAGTATTCCGAAAAATATATAACATACAAAGGGCCACAACTCATGAAGACGACATTATGATTATGTTATGTAATAACTTGACGTATAATAATTCTAATTTACTATTTTGTATACAAAAATATTATCTATTAATTACTAGTTTCTGCCCGCGACTTCGTCCGCATTAATTTCTGCATTAGTAATATATGTGTAGCTAACTGAGCGAACTCTTTTCCGCCCTAGAGGCCGTAAATAACCAGATATCCCTATGTTCGTCTCCATGTTCTAAGCTATCTCCTCACCAATTTTCAACCATATCCCTACAGCCGTTCTTGATTTATAAATAG